TGACAAACAAACTAAAGTCAGAAATTAGAAAATTTTAAATACAAAATTTACTTAATTTTATTGAAAAACTAACAACTACCGACGAATCACTATGGACGATAACTAAAAAGCTCCTAAAATTCAAAGATCACAATCATCCATTACTAACTGAACTTCAAACTTTGTCCAAACCTGACGAAAGAAAGTCCCAAATATTTGCTCATTTCCTCTTCAAAACCTATAATCCACATCCTGATATCCTAAATCCTTATCACCTGGAATGTATTGAAGCAGAACTGCATATTCCACTCCAAATAACTCTCCCACGTAAAGCATTTCATCCTTCAGAATTGTCCAATATCATTAACAGATTACCTTAACGGAAAGCTCCTGAATACGATCTCATTACTTCCTAGATCCTTAAACTGCTCCCTAGGAATGCCATAGTATCTCTCATATATATAATGCTGTTCTCCGATCCACTTTACTGTCCGATACTTAACTATTGTGAAAATGATACTCCAACCTAAAAAGCGACCAGAATAACCATCCCCTTACCGTCCTATCTCTCTTTTACCCATATTGAGCCAAATCCTGAAAAACGAATCTTAAAATTCCTGTATCCCATCCTAGATTCTAACCACATAATTCCAGATCACAAACTTGGATTCCGCACATCCCGCTCCACTATTCAGTAATGTCTTCGTGTGGTAGACGTAGTCTCCTCTGCATTGGAGCGCGAAATGTACTGCACGGGAATCTTTCTCGGGGTTGAACAGGCGTTTGATAAGGTCTGGCACCCGGGACTGATGTACGGACTCTGTAAATTCCTTCCACCTACATATTTCCCACCTACCATACTGAGATGCTTTAAAGTAAATCACAACTCTTATTCATCCCTTTTTTTTCCAGTATGCTGGCGTTCCTCAAGGTAGTGTCCTTGGTCCTATCCTTTACACAATTTATACAACTGATATCCCAACCCATTCTGACACTGTCGTCATCACGTATGCTGATGACACATGTATCCTATCTGTTAATAATGATCCATCAACTGCATTCCAAACTCTCCGATCACATATCACAAACCTTGAAGAATGGTGTAAAAACAGGAGAATTAAAATAGATTCCAATAGAGAATTCCAATAAATCCCATCAAATTATCTTTACCCTGCGTCGCAAACCTATGACCTAACCTATCCTCGTCGCAAACCTATCCTGTCCTACTACATCCTTTAACAATTCCCCACTTATCCCAGTTGAACAAATCCGTTACAAGACAAGAAACCGCTCGGTGTTTCCGACTACTCCAGCACTTACTAGACAAACGCTCTAAACTTTCAATCAATTACTAACGACTCATATGAATGACAATAATAATACCTATTTGGACTTACGGAATTGAGCTTTGGAGCTCCACTAAACCATCGAATTCCTCTCATATCCAATCCTTACAATCAAAAGCCCTCAATGCTCCTTACTTTGTCACAAATAAAATCATCCATAATGACCTTAATATTCCATATGTTTCCGATTTGGCCTAATCCAGATACCTAACCTTCCATAACAAACTTCAGTACCTTCCGAGCCCTGTCGTTTCAAATCTTGCTTTCTCCTCGATCCCTGATAACCCTCCGAGGCGTCTGAAAAGAAGGTGGCCTCGTGATCTTCTTATGTATATTTATTATTTCAGTGCTACCAGTGGGTAGTTTTTCAACAAGCTATTTCATATTATTATATTCCTGAGTGCATGAGACGTATTTTTTTTTATATATATACAGTTGTAAATATCAATGAATTAAAAAAAAAAAAAAATCTGAGGTATGTCTATTGCTGGGACCAACCCCCTGACTGTTGCTAGAACAATTGAATTTCAGGATGTCCATCACTAGCGCAAAGAGGTTTTTTTTTTTTAAATGAAGATTATATCTACATAACTGATTTTTTTTTTCAACTTTAAAGTGTTAAATAGAAAAATGAGATCCTAGAGATTCTTAATTTTCAACGGAGAAGTTTATAACTATAATAATTACTGTGGTATAAACCAAAAAATACAACAATTTCCTTAGCTATGTCTATCACTGGTGCGCTTACCCTAGTTTATTCTCTATCCGTATTTTGTAGACACAAGGCTGTGTGGTTGGATTTTTCCAATTATAACCTAGTGACCAAGAAACATATTAAAAAAGGAAAAATTCCATAATTAGGTTTCTTGATGATTGTTCGGTTTTTTAATTGTGATCTTCTGTATATCATTATGTATTTTTTTGTATACATTTTATAAATTTAGATCATAGTAAATGATTACCCGTACGATGTCTGTGTTGTTTAATGTTCTACAAAAATAATGATCCTTTAAAGACAAAAATGAGATTTCAGAATTCTTTTACCATTAACTTGTGACACTGTCGGAGAGATGGATCTTCACTCAGGTTAATATGAGACGATAACCTGTAGAAATTGGAAAAAAGAGAAGATATGTCCCCATAATATGAACTAGTTCTACCAGTACCAGTACCTAATGAAGAATATAATTTTTTTATGAGCAACATGTTATTTTTAACCGTTCTTCACCTATAATAGTTATTAATTGTTATATAGGCTTAAAAATAAAATATATAAAAGTTGTAGGTTAATTAAGGAGTTATGTAAACATCAAATAAAAATAAAGGATAAGCATAAGTAAACAAAAGAAATTTTAGGTAAATTTATGTCAGTATGTTTACATGTTTGGACTGATAAGCAACATAGATAACTGTGTACAGGAAAATAAGACCATTAACATCAAAATATGAAAATTTAATTATTACATGTATTCGGAAGATTTAAGATTGCTGAAATGTAAAAATAATTGGTGTTTAAATGAAGTTAAATATGATATTTTGCGTATCGAGATGCATAAGGAATCCCAAAACAAGGTAGCACGCATAATAAAGATTTTTGGAAAAGAAGCAGTTTTATGAGAAGGTATATATAAAGGTTTATGGGAAGAAGGTAAGAAGGGTTTTTAATTCTTAAGGTTCGGAAGAGGCTAGATAATGTTGCCGTCCGAAAACTGGCTAGAGCCAGGAAGATGCTTTGAACCAATGAAGAACGGTTTTCGTTTTCTCATCGTTCAATCTCAAGTCATTGCTTAAATAATTTTTTTTTTCACGCAGTATATTGTGTGCTATAACTGTTTAGGATAACAGAACTTAAAAATGTTCACACTTCAAAAAATGAAAATGTGAGTGTCAATTGTGGCGTTGTATGTAATTTGTTTGAGGAAAATTACACTCCTAATTAAAACATATGTTTTCTCTTCACACTGTCAACCTTCTCAAGAAATCTTCAAAATTGCAATTTACTGTTTTCGTTTGCTAATAAGAACCCACTTTACGGGTATTACATTCGTTTTCATTTCAAAACAGCAATAATAATAATAATGATATCAATAGCAATTGGGTTTTAAAGGCTCGAATGATATTAAAAAATCCAAATATTTACAATATAATAAAATATTTTGGATAATTAAAATATTCATCAATAGTGAAAAGGAAATGATTTTTCGATTTTTCCCGCCTTTCAACCACTGATACGCAAAATTCTCTGGATCCATGTCTATCGCTATATCTATCAACCGAACTTTGGGAAAATAAAAAAAAAAAATATTAAACTGACGTGAGTCTTCTGGCTTTAAAAAACAATTAAATCTGTTAAAGTTTGGGCTGCACAGCGCACGAAATAAAAATTATTCTTCCAAGTATTGGTGATTAAATTATTAAAATTAAAAATCGAATAAAACGAGTTTTGCAGAGTAATAATGGATATAATAAATCTTGTAGGTTATGGCTTTGGATATAGTGACTTTTCACAAGGTAAAAAAGGAATTGTTTCAATAGAAAAAAAAAACACTCAATAAAACAATTTTTTCAGTACAACATATATTTTTCTATATTAAATAAATTAGGGTTTGACATAGATAATTCACAAAATCACGTAATAATTATATTATGATTTTTAATTTAAAAATCATGTTTGATTTATAAATAAAAATTTAAATCGACCTTTGACTTTTATTTATTCGATTAAAAATAATGATTACTCACTGAGTGGTTCAGTTTTACATAAAAAATTATTAAAGTGCGATAAAAAAAAAATATCAGAAAATTAAAATTACCTTATACATAAAAATTAAATTAAATACAAATCTGTATGTATACGTTATTAATGTACACATTTTTTAATATTATATTTCTGATATCGCTTCAGTTTTGTACGCGGTACCTGTACTATATATATTTATACATTAATAATTTTTTTTTAGTAAGCCAAAATTTCGGAAATAATGACGTTCTGTAGCTAATAGTTGACAACAGTATTCTCCACCAATTACTCAAGCCTCAAAATATATCATAGAGATTAGAAACAAATCATATTTCTGATTTAAAAAAGTTTTACTAAAGAATTTTTATTATTCTCAATTCTAAAATTTGGTTTTAAAATATTGATCAAGATATGATTTTTGATCAAGAATAAAAATCATAAAATGATTTTTAAAAATTTTGATCAGATTTTATTTTGATTTTTTCAATTATCTATTTGACACCCTGAAATAAATCAAAGCGAAATCTACTTTGGAAATTTATCTACGATTATTCTCTATTGCTTTTGAAGTTACCCTTCGTATTTGTCAGTTCTACTTTCACAAGAATACTTCAGCTGCTTAAAACGAATCATTTTCCTGAAGCCTTAAGAGTTTGGCTAAGTTAGAACAGCTACCAAAAATTTCTTCTTAACAAAGCTGCCACTCAAGTTGCAGATGTCCAGTGTTTAAATTTCAGAGCCCTTGCCTTCCAACTACATCCTCCTTTAACAAAAAGCATTGGTTCAAAACTAACTTTATTGTGCAAAGAGAATGTAGGCTGTTGTTTAAAATCGACATAAATCTTTTTCAACATTTAGATATGTAATTAATATTATATTAATTTTTAGTTATTTGGCAATAATAACTTCCAATTGGTAAAAATATTAACTTTTAGGGAGTTGAGAGCCAGTATAATAAATTCAGACACAAAGTCACGAAATGGAGCAGTCATATGCCACACCTGTGGAACTAACTTCATGGAGAACTGCACCGTTGAGGATGGCAAATGTCAGATATGCGGAAGAAAACTATGCAGTCGCTGTGGATTAGAATGGATTTGCCCTCTTTGCAACAAAAAAAGGTAGGCTAAAGCCAGTGTTTCTTAAATACATATTATACACTATAAATCCTCAATGCTCTTCATTAAAGCCTCGTGTCCAAGAGATAATTAAGAGAGATAACAACCGTCAGAAGTATGAGCGAAATTATATATATATATATATATATATATATATATATATATATATATATATATATATATATATATATATATATACAGCATATAATGGACGCGAAGCCCAAGTTTTTTTTTGTTTTTTTTGTTAGTAATATTTGTTTATTTAGAAATATTACATTCTGTCACATCAAGGACATTTATAATAGTGATCAGAGAAAGCACACTCACACTCTATTTACAATAAAAAAAAAATAAAAAAAAAATAAATAATACAGAAACTTAATAATAATAAATACAATAAAATAAAATAAAAATAAATACAATAAAATAAAATAAATGTATATAAACAAAAGAACTAACCTAATCATACACACTCGGGCTTGAGTGGAGGATCTGGCCATTGCCAAAACTCCAATAGATGCTTATTTACAAAAGGTCTCTGGGCCACTGCCGCTTCAACCTTCGAGGAGGATTGTAAGGATGGGTGGTGCTGGATAGAGATTGTGCAAGGGGATTTGGATGATAGGTAAGGTTTTGGTGAAATTTGGAGAATTTTTCTGGAATAAGGTCTAGGACAAATGGGATATTAAGGTCATGGTGTAGGATTTTGTTATTTACATAGAACGGAGCATCAACTATTGTTCGAAGGACTTTAGATTGAAAGGATTGAATACGTTTGATGTTAGAAGCTTTTGCTGTCCCCCACAGTTCTCTCCACCACATCTCTGGTCTCCCTTCAGATCGAATAAATCTTTCGAAGCCCAAGTAAAAAATAAAATTAATCATACAGATCTGTAAACTTATTAACATTTCATAAGTTGGAGATTAGGCCCAAAAAATATATATATACCTTCTTCATTTATTGAAAAACTCAAAACCCTCAAGTTCATAATCTGTTTTCGTAATCTATCCCCGATTATCTTCCGTGGTGTCTGAAAAGAAGATTTTATGGTAAAATGGTAATTGCAGTCCAATTGGTAGTTTCTTCACAATATGTATACTATATTTACCGGATTTAATGTAAATATACAATAGTAACTTTTTAATAAACATTATAGTTGAAAAACAAAAATAGGAAAAAACAGGGCTTAGGATCAAACATCTAACACTAATATCAAACAATGTATAATGTAATTTTGTTAAATAATTCTATTTTAAAATAAGCATGCACTAGGTTATGTTTAAGGTTTACCCATTATTGACATAACATGTTGTAACCTCCCTTTATTTTTGCCAATAATTTACCACTTACCATTGAAAAATTAGGCCTTGTGTCGTCTAGCCGCGTAAAATGTCTGACGACCTGTAATGAATAGTTGCTGCGAATGTCTGATATTAATGATATATGGCCTCGGTTCTACTGGATGCGTAAAACATGCGACAGCGACAAGAGTAGATACTTATAATGCTTAACGGTATGTCGAATCAATTAGTTGTGCATATTATGTACATCTAATAGGTTCGAAGCCTTACTGTACGGCAACAGTTTCAACGACACATAGATATTAACCATCGTTTTTGGTGTTACCACTTTGTGAAAATTGGAAGTAAGATCTTCGATGTAAAAATGAAGACTATAAGATTTAGAATGAGATGGAAAATCTGTTTTTAGTAATCAAATTCTGTTTTTTAGTAATTAAATTTGTTTTTAGTAATCCGTAAAAAAATATGTTTTTTTTAGTAATTATTAGAGACCGGATTTCAATGCCATTGCACCAATTTATTCGCTAGCGTAAGAAACTCCAGACCCCGAATATCTGTCCGTTTCAGGATCTGTTGTTAGAACAACATATTTAAATTTTATATATCATGTTTTGCTGTTTTAAGGCTTAAGCGGGCAGGATTTTGATTTCTGTTCCGTTTAATTACGTATTTTTGCACTATTTGTGACAAATTAGATGATTTATAAATACAAATGTATGTTTACTTTACTATATTGCCCACATTAAATTCATAATTCAAGATACAAAATAGGAGAAAGGTAAATAATTCTGACAAGCAAAAATCGAATTTAAAGTTACAAAAGAAAGAAGTAAACATAAGTGGAAAATATCCCAAGAATATTCTAAAATAAAACTTTCCTAAAGTATTGCATAATGAAAAACTACCTTTCTAGAATAAGCGGTTTTGTTATAAAGATATTTAATTATTGTTTTGACTTGAATTCTTACTCATTCGTTCAGTGATTTAGCATCACCTCTGGCTTTAAACTGATGTAATTTAATTGGTTTAGTATCATTAATTATCATCAACAAAAAATAAATAAATAAAGTAAGATTAATCTCTCGTCAATAATAAAAGTCTGATCGACATAAAAATACCACAAGTTGAAATTTGATTAGAAAATACGCCTTGTAAAAAATTAATAGGAAATCGCTCATATAGAGTACAGATAGACGCTCATTGTAGTACAGGTAAGAAATTAAATATTCTTATCAAAGAATTGACTGTTTTATTGTTTATAAAATGCATTATCCCGAATAATATTTTTTTTTAGTGATTTAAAAATACAGTTTTAACACTAACACTTTTAAAATCTCAAATATTACAGTGTATTCCAGCAATTTTTTAAATTTTAATAAAATGTTTTGGAATGTATAATATTGAAAATTTCTAATCGTTAAAAAAAAAAAAGTAATGTTTTCATTATTACTTTTAATAAAAGTTAAATATCTAAAATTGGTGTGGTTTATATAACATTTAACTATCTAAAAGGATGCCCATCCCCCCAAGGCCCGTGGCGCAAGAACCTACCTCCCCTCCTCTCCTCCTAAGACATTTTATTGCTCATCTTTTCTTAAAAACAGAGTAAGCAAAGTTAGAATTAGAAAAATCGTAGATCATATACAATTACCCTTGCTGTGGCCTGTTCCATGTTTTTCCTTGTCCCTTAGTCTGAAAATCCATAACTCCTTCGAAATTAGCTCTCCTCAATAAGTCAAAAACCCGTCAAAATCTGTTGCCCTTAAAAATTTTGATGGCTTGACTTGAGCCATGAAACCCCATTCTGGGAATCCCTGAGTACCTGTTATTCCTCCCTTCATTCTTTCCTTCAAACCTTCAATATTCTGCATTATTTCATTCCTTGTATGCCAGACAATTGACTAATTGACCAATTTAAGGACAATTCAAGCAAATATATTCGATTATTTGTCTGTTAATTATTGAGACCATATTCTGTAGAGACAAAAATTAATAGATGATTAATCCAAGTGTTTTATTTTGAAATTTGAGTCTTTAAATGATCGAAAAGGGTACTAAGTCAATGTTAGATTTATGTAGTCCTTATTATTGTTTTAATTTCTAATTGTTTAAGATAAATATCAATTAAAATTTAATAGAAGTTTAGGAGATTTTATATGTTTTATTAAATATTCATACTATAACATTTTTTTCTAGAACAGAAAGAGAAAATAAAATAAGTACAGATTTGAATGACCAAGAGATATTAGCAGCAGCAAAAATAATGAAAGTTCTGAAAGTAAGTATTAAGTTTTTTTGTATTATAATTTCCTGGTATTTTTAAAAATAAATATCTCCTGTCAATCAATTACATATTTTAACTGTTAAGACCATAGGATGAATAATAAACTCAAACAGACAATGATTTCAATAGATCAATAATTTGTCAAAGTTCACCCAGTGCGCAGCCAGCCCACCGTAAGTTACCCGAGACCGGGAAATCGTGCGGAAAGGAATACTTGTAGATATTATGAACAAGCAGCAGCTGTTAAGATCAAAATAATATATAATCTGAGAAAATAGACTGAATATTGAAAGATCTAGAACAATAATTATATTACATTATAGGTTTAGAACTATTTTTATATGAAAACTTCGGTGCTATTATATATTTTTCTTTGATACATAAAGTGTTGGAGTAATCAAAGTTAAGCAACGTCGAGTTCAGTTAGTACTTGGATAGGAATAGGGAATAGAGTCCAATAGGGAAAGCCACGCTGCCCGAGATCCTCCCTCCCTCCCCCCGGATATGTGGGACCCATCTGCCTACAGGAGGCAAATCAAACCGCAGGGAGGTGAGCGAATCCTATGTCCTGGTCTTCAAGGTTGGGGGTTGGGCATAGGGCTAATAGCCTTATCCCATAAAAAACATAATATTACGAAACCAAAAATCAGCCTCGGAAAATCTGACTGTATTAACATGGTAACGACCTTTGTACAACGGACTCTATATTGGACCATGGAATGTTCGGAGCTTATACAGACCAGGGGTCGGCCAAACGGTATTAAAATAAGTAAAAAGGTACACCATACCGTTTAAAGCCATACAAGAGGTAAGGTGGCCAGATCGTGGTAAAATTGTAGACCACACACTGTTCTACACCGAGAGAAACGACAAAAATGGGGCAACTGGCCCTTCATAGTTCATAGTTCATCCAGCCGCAAGGAAGTTAGTAATAAACTTTACCGCAGTTAATGAAAGGATAAGTGTTTTGCGCGTAAGAGGTCGTTGGTTTAATATCATAATTATTAACGTGTATGCACCAACCGAAGAAAAAAAGGATGAGGTGAAGGACGATTTCTACGATCAGTTAGAAAAAGTTGTGGACCAGGCTCCAAAATATGACATAAAATTAGTTATGGAATACTTCAATGCCAAGATAATTCGAGAAACCAAATTTAGGCCCATCATCAGAGGCCAAAGTTTCCACGAAACCAGCAGTAATAATGGAGTGAGATGTATCAGTCTGACATTAACTAAAGGTCTAGTAGTGTAGCAGTACGATGTTCCCGCACAAAGAAATACATATGTACACCTGGGTAAGTCCAAGTAGAAGAGCAAAAAGACAAATCTACCACGTGCTGATGGACAAGAGGCAACGCTCCACACAAGATATAAGGATTTATCGTGGAACAGACTGTGATTTGGACCATACTCTATTTAGAATGTCTGCCAGAAAAGCAAGTTAACCAAATTGGGGACCAAGTGGAAAGAAAGAGGTACGAAGTCCATAATTTGATAAACCCTATAGTACAGACTGAATTCCAAATTGAGCTGAAACATAAATTCGAACTTTTGAAGGCCTCACGGTTCACCAACATTGGGAGGCATTAGAGTCAGGGCTAAAATAAACAACTAAGGAAGTAATAGGGATTGAAAAGCCAAGAAATGGTTCACAGCATGCGAATAGGCAGTGGAGGAAATAAGAAAACTTCTCTGCTTAGCAAAAATTGATCAAGCTATTCTGGACAAATACACAGCCACCAACAAAAAGACAAACAAAATAATAAAAACAGCTATAAAAAGAGATTACAAACTATTGAGGAAAACTGACTGGCTGGAAATATCTGTGAATTCTTCGCAGAAATCTGGAAAGAAAGGGTAGGTATAAAGCGAGAAATAGGAAAATGTCAGGGAAAGATGGCAAATTGACGGCATCAAAAGAAAAGATCCTAAGCATCTATAAGAAACACTTCCAGCAGCTTCTGAATCAAGGACACCCCACAAACGAAGAAGACATGGACCACAATGAGGACATCAACCCACTTGAGGTTGAAAAACCAGATATTCTGAATGTGGAAATAGCTATCGGTAGATTTAAAAGAAGAAAGGCTCCAGGGATGGAGAATCTGTCATCACAATTGTTCAAGGATGGGGAAGAACATCTCAGAACCAAGCTGTTAGAACTAATCCAGAAAATATGGGAGGAAGAACGGATACCAGAAGCCTGGAACACAGGTCTGATCCGTCCTATCCTTAAGAACGGCTCTATGTACGAATGTGTTAATTACAGAGGCATATACACTTCGTCCGGTTGCCTATATGATACTGACTAATATTCTGCTAAGTTGGATATATCCGTATTATGAAAACATAATAGGTGACCACTTAGCAGGATTCAGGAGGAGTACGATAGACCAGATATTCATCCTAAAACAAATACTCGAAAAACGATGGGAAGTAGATCAGGACGAACAAGCCTGTCAGCAGTGGACAGGCGACTTCAAATTTGTCCACTTAAAATCAGCCAATGACTCTGTGGAAAGAAACTGTCTTTAGAATATTATTACTGAGCTGGGTGTTCCCCGAAAGTCAGTGAGGTTAAGGAGTGTACAAATGATCCTAAATGCAGAGTACTAATACAAGGAGAAGTATCTTAAGCCTTTGAAGTTCGAACAGGTTTGAGGCAGGGAGATGGACTCTCGCCAATGCTGTTCAACTTAACCTTTGAGAAAGTAATGAGAACAACATCACGCGAAGATGGAGTGATGTACGTTGGAAAGAAACATAAAATCCTAGCATATCCGAATGATATCGCTGTCTTCGGGAGCAATCAAGCGGATATTGAGAGGCTCGCTCGGACTCTTTTAGGAGAAGCAAAGAAAATCGGGAACAATGAAGATAAAACAAAATATACGACAGCCGAAAATACACCCTAATTGTATGATCTGCGTGGAATCTAAATCATGCCCGAAAGTACATAGATTCAAATACTTCGGCTCCACATTTACCTCAATAAATTATCAATTAACGGAGATACACCAGCAAATTACAAATGCAAACCGAGGTTTCTTCTCTCTTTCAAGGGTACTGAAATCCAGAAAAATCTCCATAAATCTTAAACTAGGGGTGTACAATGCCGTGATAAAGCCAGTTCTGCTGTACGGCTGTGGAAACTGTGCTTTAACCGGCACCCTAGTAAGCAGAATTGAGAAATTCGAAAGAAATGTCCTCCGCACGATAACAGGATCTATCTGGGATCAGAACCTTAACACATGGAGGAGGAGGAACATTAAAGAGCTGCTAAAAGAAACTGGTCAGTCAATATCTCATGATATAAAGGCAATGAGATTAAGATGGATGAGGCATGTAGCTCGAAGCAATCCATCAGGACGATTTTACACAACAATGAATGCCAGAGACCACGTAGGTGGCCAAAACCACAAAGATACGGCTGAGCTTCATGCTGCAAACTAGAAATCAGTGGCCCAAGATAGGCAGAGGTGGAAAAGGCTGGTTCAGATGGCCAAAGATCTACAAGATCTGTAGAACCAACCGAAAAAAACACATAAAGTGTAACCAGTTTTCTCTACCATCTACATGAAACAATCTGGTGCGATGTGCGCATCACATGACTTTCTCTTACTACCCAGCTTTCAATAGAAATAGGTATTTTCATATGTAAGATATTGATATATAGGTATTTTCGTATGTTAGATAGATCTGTAACATAGATTACCACCAAGCTTTGAACAGAAATATGTATTTCAGATGGAAGTAGCCGTCTATAAATCAACATCCATCCCTATCCGTACTCTTCAGAATCGTTGACCCACACCACAAAACACAAAAGCCATGGAAATGAGGTATATGCGTAAAATCGAACGAAAGACACGGAGAGATAGGATACGTAACGACACCATACGGGCTATACCGGCGGAGGCCATTCTGGAGTACAAACTAAGGTGGTTTGGATATCATCTTAGGATGGGTCCAGATAGAAGCGTCAGGAAGACTTACGAGACCCACATGGAGGGGAAAAGATCCAGAGGAAGGCCTCGCACCTCCTGGGAGGACAGTGTAAAGGAGGCATTCAGGAGGTGCGGAAGTGATAATACCAATCACTTCCGCGCTTCCTGGATAGAGTTGGTGCAGGAGACAGCTGAGCTAGACTCTATAAGCAGGACCCTCACACACCGAACGGCGGTAGAAGAGGGAATGATTATGATGATAATGATGATGGTTTTCAATATGGTCTTATATGGTGCAACAGTAGGATTGGATAGCCGAGCAAGTTGGGGTGTGGGTCCCAGAGTGCCTGATTCTGAACGTTGTGGGTTCGATTCCCTCGTGGGTCCGCTGCTTTTCATTTCTCGGCAGCCCCGTGAAGTAAATCACTAATGCCTGTGCTTAACATGTTTATTTTACTTTATAAAGTTTATTTTATTTTTATAATTTATATATGTATTTCTCCTTATGCTATTTTATTCTGTTCTTATTTCTGTGTATTATATTGTTATTAGTTTATGTATTTATGATTTTGTAAATATAGTGTGAATGTGTTCTTTGAACTCTACTATAAATGTCTTTAATTGAGACAGATTGTAATATTTCTCGATAGAGGGCGGAATGGTCGAGCACATTGGGGCGTGGCTAGCAGAGTTTCCGGTTCTGAACGTTGGGGGTTCGATTCCCAGCTGGGTTGGTTAACTTTCATTTATCGGCAGCCCCGGGTAATGAATCTTGACATTCCCACTCTGGTAAGTACGCGACGGCAAGATCAAGGTAGCCGTCAGTGGTTGGCAAAAAATATCAGTACCAGTAACAGTAACATTTCTCAATAAACAAGATTTTAAAAAATAAGTAAAACAATATATTCCACTAATTATTAATATTAAGCACTAGAATCATAATTACTACTGCTTGCCTAATGAGCCTTCCAGATACCTTCAACCCCCCACAGGTGGGGGCAAGTGAAAATTAGGTACTACTTGAATCAGCAATCTCATAAACATTGGTATCATTGAATGGTGGGCTTGAATGTAATATTTGAACATAATTGATCATATTAGGCACATTCATAAAAGAAGAGAACAAAACTACCTCCAAAAATAAAGATATAACAGATATTCGGGCTGAAGCTCCCCTCCAAATGGTAAAATCTAACCTTGTTTTATGGTAAAAAATTATGTCTCAAAGTATTATTGTTCGTTTAATTACATTTAATAGGACTTCAAGAATCACTTAAACACCGTTTCATATCGGTAGTTAGTATCTTTCTGTTTTTCCAAAGTAATTATCGTTTTATATATATATATATATATATATATATATATGTGTGTAAAAAAAAGCTTCCGGGCTAAAGCCCCCCAAAATTTAATCCTGAATCCGCTAGTGCTTAATGCACATTACCCTTTGTAAATATAAATAATAAAAAGCTAGTTTCATAAACATGAAAACCATCTTGAAAATCTCTGACAAATTTTATAGTAATTTTAATTACATTTTGGGTTATCTATAAAATAACAATTTAATTGTTGAAGCAAAATAATCATAATTTTAAATTTAATTGTTACAGATGAAAGGATATTCCTCAGAATCAGTTCAAGGAATCAATAAGCAAGCTTGCATTAAACAGAACCACATCAACCACATTCTAGAATCATCTTATACTAATGACTTTGGAGGAAAAGATGTAATATTTCCAGAATACGGAGTAAATTTGCCAATAGGTAAATTACTTACTACCTCATTTTTTATGTTAAAATACACAATATAATTATATCTGAAAACATGTTTTAAAATCATATTTTTATTATTATAGTCTATTACATATTCTAATTTAATGTTTATAATTGATTCAAAATTGCATATAGGACAAGTGCTTCTCAAATATCAAAGAAAAATAAGGAATATTAAAAAGATTACAAAAGAAACTGATACCTGTTCCAATTACTGAACTTTTTAAAAAATTTCAAGACATGTTTGTTCTGTCAAATACATTTTCATTTGTTTATTTTTTTTTTTTTTTCAGAACCAGCAAAGAAATGTGAAAGTGAACACTCACTCAAAATCAATAATTGGGAAGGAAACTGGCTTTTTAAAAAGAAAGGTGACACTGAAGTCTTTAAGCCATTGGCAATGTTTGTACCTTCTCCCAAACAAAGTTCCAAAGCACAAATAGGGGGAGTAGATATTGATGATTTATCGGATCTTTCAGAATGCAGTGATTCAGAATTAGATAAAATTTTATACTGATCTACCAGAAAATCAGTTTATCAATAAATTGTAGTTATTGGCAGTTAATAGTAAAAAAAAAAAAAAAAAAAAACACGACCATTATGACTATAAGCAAATAATTGGTTACAAAATGTTTTATCTCAATGACCATAAAATGTGAATGCATGCATACATAAATGCATATCAATGATGAGTTAATGTGCAATCCATATTTAAATACATTATAATTTACCTATGATCTACTGATAAATATCCATATTCAGAAGGTAAGTATTTACAATGTCTAGAGAAAGAGAAAGAAAATCATATTTTTCCTGTACTTAAAGTGATTGAACTATTTTCAATTTTTAGAAAACATCAGGACTTATTAAACAGGGGGTATGCATACTAAAAACCTGAGCAGAAGGAAGTATTAACAGCAGTTAAAATAGGTGTAGGTTCTGATTCCTAATTGGAATATTATATATATTGTTGATTTTTACAGACTATCAGAAAATGTTATAATTATACACATGAAGTTCACAGCTATAAAAAGAAAACTGTTTTCATTAAAATATAAAAGAAATGTTGGCATATTCACAGAATACATTTTGAATTTCACAATTGAATTGAATTTTACCCATTTCACAGTGGTTAAATAAATAAAAATGCAATTTTTGAAGATATTAAATTCTTTATTTAAAAATAAACAAGAAACCAAAGTCAAAATTGGTAACAATTTGTTGATTAAAATGTCATTATACATCAGGTTAAAACTTAATAATATTAAAAAAATAAATAAATAATTTTATTTTAATATAAAAGAAAAAGTAACTTATTTTTAGAAATAAATTCGTGAATATTACTTCTAGACAACATTACTGATGAGTATTCTGTATCACCATTAAACATTTGTTAAATTAAAAATTATGCCTTAATAAATTATTTTCTAAGGAACTTTAGATGATCTAAATTATATACTTTACACTTGCATACTCACATTCATACATGTATTAACATTAATGAAGAGGAATACTATTGTGTTCTTTAGATAATTACTAAATATGATAAATGAATTGAAATAATTTTAATAGCTTCATATAATTTAAATTATTTTTTAAAATATAAATACATATTGATAGGCAAAAAATAGAATTAAATCACTATAAGCATTCATCTAATCTTTCACATATCATTAAAAAGAAGACATTATAATTTAACAATCGATCACTAAAAAAATAGAAATCTATTAACAAGATTAAATGCAACAATTAAAATATCGAGCTTGACAAATCCATAGATATGACATGGACTCAGAACACATTATGATTATAGGTACACTTTATAGTTAACATACAATACTTCCACATCAGTATACTTAGCAATTAGAAATAACTGTTAGCTCTTTTATACTAATAAAAATCATTCTTTAACCAGGTTATACCTGGAGCATAACAAAAAAAAAGGTACATTTTAGATTTCTTAATAAATAATAATTCAGTTTTAAAGAAAACAAGACTATCAACATGACTATCAGGTTAATAATTTGATCATTTAGGATGTAATGAATTATAAAAAAAAAAATCTTATACAAATTTCAATAATCAAAAAAGATGAAAAATGTTAAAATGATATTTTAACAAAAAAATAAAAATACAAAAAAAGAAATCATTATTGATGAAGTAACAAATTTTCACCAACAAGTCTATGCAAGTTTAAAAACATTCAGAAGATCTTATAAATATAATGAATGCACTTAAAAATGATAGCTGGATTGTAACACAATTAGAAGCAACTAAAATTAATAGTAATCATGATATATAAAAATATTTTAATAAAATTATATTATTATTATTTTATTTTGACAAAAATTAAACATAATTTCATTACACCACCTGATACCAATGTATTATTACAGAAATGAAATGGATATTAACTCAATATCAACAATTTGTAAACAAAAATTTAATTTCTGGACTACTATAGCAATCTATTTTTTTTTCTTTTCATCATTGTAAAGTTATCATTTTAATTTATTATTACAATATTTATTTCTGGATTTAGTATTTATAATTTCCAAAATTAATTTGTACATCACAGATAGACAATGTTCATTAAATGACATACAAATTAGTAACGGTTAAGGAAAAAATAAATAAATAGGCCTTATAATAAAAATAATAAATGCACGGTCTTATGTATTTAATAATGCATAAGTTAATTAAAATAGTAATGCAAATTATCCATATAATCAGTGCCGGCCTTAGATATTCGCCGCCCCTTGGCATTGACATCATCACCCCCTCCCGTAAGAAAATAAATTTATTTCTTAAGCTGTTTCATATTATGTAATATTTAAATTTTAATACATTTGACATTTCTCCACTACAGTTGCTTTATTGGTACGTCATAATTATTTATTTTAATACGTGTTATAACTTTTTTCTATTTCTTACAAGTGGGTTAATTGCCCCGGTTGCCCCATCCTAACACCGGCACTGCATATAGTTATATATATTCATTATATCTTTTCAAATAATATGCTAAATATAAATTCATATACTGAACATTTAACTTGTATATTTGTCTCTCAAATATTGTTCTATAATGAATATTATATGAAGAAAGGAAGCTTGGGAATTATCAAAGTTTTAGATGTAATAGGTCACCAGATGTGGACACTGACAAATATTTGGAAAAAAAATAAAGGGATACGGGAAAGACTTAAGGAATACTTTTTATCCATTTTAAATCTGGCTATGCCACAATCATAAGACAAGAACTCTTCAGTATCATGCATCATGCAGGACATGAAGAATCCCACGTGAAGCTAATATTTCTCAAGGTATGCAAAATAAAAAATACATAATGTAAAGTCAGGCCTCATCCACAAGAACGCACTACCTCTAGGCCCAGATCAAGAAAAATGTTTCCAACGGGAATGGTCATAACAGAGCAATGAGCCTAGCACCAAACCAAGGAACTTTTAATTCTTTTAGTCTCAATCCTCACACATCATGACCTGACAGCTAAAGGACATGAAGAAATTAAATTTATTAAACTGTTCATATAATTAAGTCCTTTAAAAATATTAAAATTTTAATATTATTTCTAATAAAATAGCAAATAATATCCTCTTGAATAACTAATTTTTGTGTAACTACTGTCTTATTTTGATACTCAAGTTATAATTTTGATTATACTAAATTGAATTACTTATATATTTATTAAAAATATAGTGGAAATCCAATTATTTTACTTAAATTGTGGGTACTGTATTAGTGGTTTACTGAAAAGTAAGCTATTCACAATTCTTAATATTTTTTAGTAGCTCAAATGAAATAAAACTGTAGAGGGGAGAGTAAAATTCAAGTAATCTTCCAAGGCAAGTTCATCAGTAAACACTAAACAGGATAAATTAATTAATACAATATTTTCTAAAGAACCTCATTTGAGATAAGAGAAATAAAACCCATCACAACTGTGTATTACTGCACAAGAATAGGGACAACATTTTTATTTTTCACTTTTATTTAATAAAAAAAGAGGGGGATCTTTGAAACATATTTTTAATATGTATGGACTTTACACGCCTACAATAAAAGGTATAATGCTTCAAGGAGCTCTACACAGAATACTAAAATTTAATATATCAGCCATTAAACTCAATTTTCACTAACATAAAATAATTATCATAGAATTTAATGAATAAAAATATTTATTATGTGACAAATAAATGGAGTTCAAATGTGTTGCAATTAAATGAGAAAAAAGTTTTTTTTTTGTTTTTTTTTTTCAACAATTGATTTATCCTAGCCAAAATAGAAGAGTGCAGCTTTGTGACAGTCTTAGTAATCCTATATCACCTTTTCTAAATAGTTGTGTTTTACTTGATTTAATTTTTAGTGTTGAACGATTTCGAAGATTTATAAATGATTCGTATCCACCTCCAAAATATCTGAAAAATGATTTCTTTAGATGTTAAAGTAATGCTTACATTTATTAAAGTATTTAAGTAAATTTATAACAATGATATATGGATAACATTGAGCATAGAAAAAATGTTTTGTTCATCATAATGATGTTTGAAACTCTACTAAAGAAAAAGAGAGATACATTATCTGTAAAGTTGAGAGGGGTTTAAGACCGATATTCTGTATTGGCCACACATGGGGCAAGGGACAAGGGGCTTAGATCTTAATCTTGGTGTACCTCTTTTGTTCAATAATGCAGTATAAGCAGTCTTGGCAAAAGGAGGATTAATTGGTAGAGGGAATATTTTTAATTGAATGACACAGGTACTTGTCTACATGGATGATATAACAATCAGTAGTTCACTACATAGGCTGAAAGGCAATACTTAAGTTGACAAGTTAAGAATAAAATTAAATGAGGAAAAGACAGAACTGTCGATACTAAGAAGGGATATACACCAACAGCAGCACTGTGGTCGAACACATACTTTTGAGGTAGTTCACAGATTTCAATACCTTAACTTAGTCATCAAAGATGGGCTAAATAAAACAGAGGAGATCAGAAAAATTCTGGCTGGGGATTGTGCATATTTTGCTACTGGTGAATTAGTGAAAATTTGTAAAGGTGAAAAGTATATCATCAGACACATTATAGTCCAGGAAAATGATGTATGGCAAAGAACAAAAAATATGGAGTTATTGAACTCAATGGTGACATGAGCTTCTACTCTTTTGCCAGAAAACAGAGAATGAAGTAGCTGGTTCACTTTCTTGGAATGGATGAAAGGAGAGATGACCAGAAGAAAATGTACAGAAACTGTTATGATAGGGTAAGCCCAAGAGGAAGACCAAAAGAAAACTAAGAATATGTGCATTGGATGTAAAGGACCCAAACAGATGAAAGGGATCAATAAAAGAAGTTGTCGTGTTATTAGTATAACAACTAATGTTTGCAATTCACTATTAGCATTCTTGAGAGACAAAGACAATAAGTACTATAAAAGTAATTCATGAACACATTAATTCTACAATAATAATAATAATAAATTGTTATTAATTGAAAGATTTATTTTATAAATATGAGTTTTACTTTTTTGATTTTTTTTTTTTTTGTTGTTGTTTAGCAATCTAACCAAACAACAAATAAAAAATTTTAAAATTGCAAATTAGTTGATTTAATGAAATGATTCTGATTTAAACATAAATTCAATAGATCTGGAAAACCAAACAATGCTTAACCCTTTCAAAGATGGATTATCTATGACAATTTATTCTTTTTAATGCTATTATATTAGCACTAATAATTTTTAAACAGTTTTTAAATTACTATATAAAGGAAGACAATAGCCTGCAGAAGACAATTCAATCTAATACTATCTATAAATAATTTGGAAAACTATTTTAAAATTCCTCAAAACTAAATTCTCAATTCTCATCAATTGACAATCTATAAAAATATATATATCAAGCACGTTGGAAAGCAATATTGACAAATAATTGATAGTATTAATAATATATAACATCTTTGATAATATTATAAAATCAAGATTTAATTCAACAAACCACTAAATGCATAATCAATACACTTAAAATTAATTGAAATAAATGAAAGTTGATCTGAATCTATCAGAAGCAGGCACTTAATCAGTTCAATAGTGAGTCCATAAATTAACATAGCATTTAAAATATACATTCACTTGAACAACAAGAATAATACATTGACTGAATGTTTTATACATATTTTTTCAGATGTATAGATATACTTTTATAAACAAATTATTAAATCTCTATGACTATGATATTTATTGTGTCTGTATATAATAACCTTAAACACTAATAAAGCTTTTTTTCAGTAACTTCTAAAATTAAATAATTTATAATATACCTATCAAAAACAAATACACTAAAATATGATTTATTTAATGATAAAGATTTCTATCTCTATGATTGTAAATTGACCAATACTATTCATTGTTTTTAATAACTATCTCATCAAACAAATTTATCAAGATTGCACAAATTCATTATATATATATATATATATATATATATATATATATATATAAATGTTTGTGTGTGTATACAGCACATATTTATAAAGAAGCTTACAAATCTTAGTAACTATGCTATTTTTAATTATACTTGCAGTCTTAAAGTTTTTTTATGAAATAAAAAAGGCAGTCCTGCGTTTTAACATATACTAAAATAGATATGAATCACAAATCATATATTCACTACATTGTCAAATAATTCAAGTTTGATACAATAAATTATATTTTTAGTTACTTGCAATTACTGAAGAGCCAGTAAGATTTACAAAACACCAATAATTTAAAAATATAACAAATAAATAATGAATGAGAAAACTAACTAAGGTTACAAGCCAACCATGGTCAATGCCAAAGACCTAGGTTGTACCCTTCCCAGCAGAGTATTAATAAATTTCTCCAAATTACCAATTTGTCTAAGTTTAATAAAGTGTAACCCCCATAAAGCAAAACTCCAGGTGATCAATTATTACCTCAAAGGAATACATCATGATTCTAAATTATATCACATGATGCATGTATTTCATTTTATTATAATTAATGAATAGTGCAAGTTGCATCAAGGAAGAACAGAAACCTCCTCACTTACCAAGGGAGAGGAAAAGAAAGGAGTAATAATCACTGTATATTAACTGATTGCTTCTTGATAAGTTCACATAGAAATGAAAAATGCAGAATGTTTTCTTACTGTGATGTAAAATGCAAAATAAATACTCTAAATAACTTTTTAATATGTTTTCAAATTAATGTATATGGTGATTGATTTGTACATCCAACATAACAAAAACACTTAATATAGATCACTTTGTCACTGTTTAAAATATAACTAAATCATTGCTATGTGATAAAATGAATAAACTGTGTGCAGCTTTATTGAGAACTGACTAGCATAAATAGCATCCACAAAACTTAATATTATAAAGTTGTCATATCTACCAGAGATTATTAATAATTCAAAGTTAAAGTTAAAGTAAAAATATAAATTTGTGATTAATGTGATTATTAGAGTAAAATATATTGTTTGATAATATTCTATCTATTTTTTTTTAATATGAAGTAAAACTGCAACTAATAATAGAATAATATTTTTAATAACAATTAGGAGCCAAAAGGTTATAAAACAAAATATAAAAAGAAAATAAATTATACATTGAAATACAAATATTTGTTAGAGATAATTTCATTAAAAAAATGTCTCATAAATATGTACATCCATGGAATGTAAATAGTTCATTTAAATGAAAGAACTAGGAAGGTTATGGAACCAATTTTAGTAGTAAATATATAATAAGCTTTTATCACTTTGTAATATGAGTAATAGTGAATAAGGTCTTCAGGATCTTTTTTTTTTTTTTCTTGGTTTTAAAGATTTTGGCAGATCTGCAGATTAAATTCAGAGAAAATATCATAAAATAAAATAATAATACTTCCATAAGGAGAGTTATAATAAAATTAACCTGCATCATAACGCAATGTAAATGTTTTAACTGGTCATCAAATAGCCACCTATCAACATTTTTTTATTACTAGTACAATATACTATGAATATGAATATACTAGTACAATATCAATGAAAAAAGGAAACAACATAATATTTCAAATACAAAATATAATAAAATATCAACAGCTTTAGAGCATCCTTAAAATACTGTCAGGAGAACTATCCTAGTATCTAGGAAAACAAGGTAAAACAATGGAAGGATCACAGAGCTAATGAGTGATAAAAAAATGAAATAGATGACCAATTCATTCAACATTAAAAAATAAAATGCATTGTTTTTCCTGAACAGGTAAGAGCCTATTAATAACATAGCTTGTAGATATAAATGATTAGTAAGTAACAGTAAGATAACAGATTAAAGAAAATAAGTTTGCAATCCAGGGTCTCATTATAGGCTAAAGAGGAGTAAAAGAAATTTCAAGAAATAGATGAACTAGTTGTGAACATGATTTGTGCTAGTTTGAGGCATTATTTCCATGCATATGATGTACAGTAAACTACAGCGAACAATTTGGATAACCAATGGAAAGAGTTGGAGTAACTTTGATAATAATAAATTTTCTGAGCATATATTGCAGATCAAATTTAGCTGATGCAGTGATTAACTAATCATCTGCAAATTGAAAGGTGAATAGGAAGTCCTCACCAATTTTCACACCCATTTACCAGCATATTTCTTTCTTCTTCATAAGGGCTTGTTCAATGAATATGTTAAAGAGAGAAGGTGATAAGCAGCAACCCTGCTTTAAGCCTTTGGTGATAGGAAATGCTGAGGATAAACGATTCCTAATGTTCACTGTCACCTTCACTCCTATAAAGAGGTTCTGGATCCCTTATATCAAATCATCACTGATACCTGCCACAGTCTTTCCCAGAGCTTACTCAAGGGTCATATGCCTTCTCTAGGTTGATAAAGGCTAAATTCACCTCTTGGTTATGTGCTGTCTGGTTTTAAAACCTATGTACTTCAATAAAACTGAATAGAACAATAGAATGTATATATATACTTCAAATCGAGCTTCACAAATCTTCAATTTTTGTTTTTATAGATGGTTCAGATTTGTGAGAATCTTCTGTACACTTCATAACAGCACAAAATGCATATAAATGACATATATGTTAACTTATTTTCAAAAAAAAATGTTGAAATTTTCATTTTTAAACTGGATATACAAGATTAACTACTAATTACAGTCCAAATAACCTGTTTTCTTTAATAGATCAAAATTATACAGGTTTGGCAAGAATACAAGGATCTCTGAGATGAATTCTTAACTCTTAACACTGGTGGATGCTGTAAAAGATTGAATATAAACTATATACAAATAAAACTCAAAATAAGATTAATTGAAAAAATTACAATTTGGGAGAAATAGATGTAAGGATTGATGCATTTAAACAGGTGAAGACATTTAAATACCTAGCTTTTTTTTTTTTTTTTTTTTACAAGAAATCATGATTTCTTACATTAAGAGAAGAAAAATTCAATAAGATTTTTGAAAACCAAGTCATATTTGGTCAATATACATATAATATACAAAGAATATTTGGTCCTATGTAAGGTAAGATTAGTCAAATGGAGAATTAGAATGGCCACAAAATGAATAAGAATCACAGAAAAGGTATTAAGAACTGAATGGACAAGGAAATGCCCAAGGGGTAAACTGAAACATTATATAGAATAATGTTAGATAGCAATATTTTGGCAGGGCTGACATTCTAGATGGGGTTTAGAAGAGAGAAGTATCTACATAGAGAAAGATTATTGCTGTTATGAGTGACAAACTTCTGTATCTGTTAAGCTTATATATATATATATATATATATATATATATATATATATATATATATATAATAAATTCTTCTTCTTCTTCTTCTTAATCATTTCCTCTTCTACAGCTGAGCGGTGTGAGGAGCCTTCTTGTAGAGCCAAATCCACAACTCTCGATCCTGAGCCAACTGCCACCTCCTCCTCCAGTCAATATCCCTTCTGTCAAAGGCCTCCTTGACACTAGCCTTCCAGGTCTTCCTGGGCCTTCCCTGAGGTCTTCTTCCCTCAACTTTGCTTTCCAACGCTATCCTAGCCATTCGATTCTCTGGCATTCGAGAGACATGACCAAACCATCTCAAACGATTTTCCTCCATCACCGTTTCGGCTGCTCTTACATTTAAATTTTTCTGTATTATGGAGTTTCTTATCCGATCTCTCTTTGTTTTTCCTTCGACCCTACGCAGGAATCGCATCTCCATGGCCTGAATCTGACTGATGTGCTTTGTGGTGAGGGTCCATGACTCGCTGGAGTAGGTCATTATTGGGAGGAAAGTATTTTGGTACACGGTCGATTTGGTCTCTTTACTCACTTCTCTCTTGTTAAAGAATCCTTGCTTGATGGCGTTGAAGCACCTTCCAGCAGACTTCACTCTTTCCTTTATTTCTCAGTCGATCAATCCATGTTCATTGATGTGGGCACCGAGATATTTAAAAGTTTTCATTTGTTCCAATGGGACTCCACTCAAGTACACTATTCTGTCTCCTCTTCCTTGTTTTCTGCCAATCCTCGTTGTTTTGGTTTTTTCCACATTTATTTGCATATTTATTTTACTTAATTCTTCCTGGAGAATGCGGAGGTTAAATTGCAAGTTCCATTGTATCCCAATTTTTATTGCATTATCTAGCACTAGTGTAAATAGCAGAGGACTTAGACTGCACCCTTGCCTAATACCTTGATTTGTTGTGAACTCTTGCTTGTTGTGAACTCTTCCGATATGTTATTGCATGTTCTCATAACATTTCTTTGGGTCTTATAGAGACTTAGAATTGCCTTACGGAGGCCTGTTTCGATGCCTTTGTCTTCCAAGGCATTTGCTATGTCTTGCTTCTTCACACGGTCAAATTCCTTAGTGAGGTCTACAAAACAGGCATATAAGGAATAAATTATTATTATAAATATAAATCAGACATGGGCAAATGCTACTCTGAGTACCGAGTACCAAGTATTTTATACAAATTGGATCACTATTGGGAATTCAATCACTACTCCAGTTAATCGTTTGACATTGTCAAATTTATGCTCAATTTATAAAAAGGCACAATGTGATCATTGTTTAACTCTCTGCATTTGTTTATGTTTATTTTCAAATAATATGGAATAGTTTGCTTCAGCTCTGAGTAACAAATCCTGTTTACACAACAAAATCATCTTAATCACATTATTTCAGAACTCCAGATGGATTGGCAAAAGAACATTAGAGGCATATGCTGTTTAAATTCAACTGTAGTAACAATGTAATGTTGGTAGTTTGGAAAATCTCATGTTGGTAATATCAATCTTTCAAACCTCATTTTGTTCAGCTAGATCAAAGATGCTAGATAATAACGTCCTAAAAGAATCAATAGAGAACAATACCCATCAAACTTAGAAGGTATTGGTTGAAAAATCATCCAGTCAAAAGCTACAATTGGACAAAACATTTTTTTAGAGAAAAACAATAAAAGGATTATATGATCGCTAATCTCTTTCACTGTAATTTAAACAACAATGGCTTTCCACCTGTGCCTCAAAAAAATGGTTGAGGGAGGGAGAATACTATTTTGGACAGCAAAAGCTGAGTGGCACCATAAAAAAGTTAATCTTTGGGTTTGATGAAGTAGGCAAATATGATTACTGTTAAAACATTATTAAACAATCATAGGATAAGTATTTTGCCAACAATCAAACAGATTATGAGATGGTATACCGATTTAACATCCTGCTTTAGGAGACCAGAATGGAGTTACCTTGCACCATTATAATACCAAACACCACGTATCCAAAATGACCCGGCGAAAAATCCCAAATCATGGTTGGGAAGCTCTTTCTCTTCCTTCTTATTCACCAGACTTAGCCCTTTCAGATTACCATTTATTTTAGTCTCTAAATCATTAAGAAGAAAGAATTTTAAAAACATAAAGGAGTGTAAGACCAAAGATTTCTTCAGTCAAATAAAAGGAAGTTTTTTGCATCTGGGATTAACAAGATCCCATAAAGTTGGTCAAAAGTACTTTAACAAAAAGTAAAATACCATTTGAATTAAATTCATAAGTAATATGGACATTTTATAAAAAAATCACTAAAAGTTCAGACAGAAATTTTCTTATAACACAATGCAGGTATATATTTTACTCTGCCAGTCCAATAAAAGGCATGAAACATGATTACTAACAATTTAATCAGTTGCTTTCATTATTAAACTAACTTATTTTGTAACTGATAACATTTTGATAAAGGCTCAAAAGCTGACAATTAAAATGTTTATTTCAAACTTACTTTTCCCATGTTAGTACAATAAAACAGAATAAAATGGACATGATTTATATCAGTAAAACTAAATGGTTAATCTTGAAAAATTTATGGTATGAGAAAGATCAAAAAATTGAACACCATTACTACCAATCAGAACAAAATAACTGGAAATAATTAAGAAAAAACACAGCATATTTCAAAGTCAAATCAAATTAATACAAATTTTTTAATATAATAATTAGAAAATTCATATTTAAATTTATCATTATTTTTTTCACTTGATTTGAATTTATCCTCCAAATCATACTTGGTAGCAGTATAGCATAAAGGAAATAAAATAACTTTCAGAATGTGAAATAAATTAACGTAATTTTAGAAACATAGAATAATAATAAAGTAATTCTGATAAGTATCAGAATTACAAGATGTTTAATGGATTTAATTATTATTCAAATAAGTTAGATTATTCACTTATAATTAATTATTTATAAATAATTCACTTCATGTAAAAACTTAATCCAATTACGACTAATAAAGCCTACACATATCTTAGATAATAGCCCTAATTGGAGTAAATATGGAAGTTAAGCCCCAAATAAACAAATTGTTGAAGCCTAAAGGAGAATTAATTTTTAATAATTAATGACGGTTATCTTACTTAAATCAAAGATAATAAACAAAAATTATATCAATCTTTTAATAATTTAGAGCCAAAGAGTATATACCAATTGTATTACAAAAGAACTGCACATAAAGGTGGAAATGTTAATATAACATTTTTTATAACATATAAAAAAATTTAGGTAGTATAAAGGAAAACAATGTCTATAGCATTTTTTGTTTGATCTTTTGTTGCTGTCCTTCATGGCAATCAATCTGTATTTAAAACTTAAAAAACAAACAGTTATTTAAATCTTCACTAAAATCAAGTTAACAATTTTAAAATATCTGCATTAGAATAGTTTGATTTATGAACCAATCAATGAAACTTAACTGTGATATCTGTAATAATGTGTAATAGTATATCCATTTCAGTAATCTTTTTTTAAGAAATCAGATATCTTAGTTATTAATTTTTTTAAAAATACACAATGGAACTAAGCAAACAATAAATTGCTCCCTTCAAAAAGTTTTTTTTTTCATAATTTCAAGAGTTTTCTAAAAAAATTAGAATTTTTCACTTTCTCAGAGATCTGCTGATGAATTATTAGTGACCAGCATTACTTGATGTGATGTGTTAGTTAAGGTAGTTGTTTCACTTAATTTCTTCTTTAGGGAAGAAGACCCAAATAAATCAGAAACAAAATTAGCCTAAAAAAAATTATGTGTAAATATAAAAAAAGTATAGCTTCTCTGGATAAAAAAAAGTTAGAGATACAATGTATGTAATGAAATAATACAAACATAATCTTACATTGAGAAATGCAACTGTCGTTCCAATAAGCAATCCAACTAAAACATCACTCCAATGATGTTTATAGTCTGACACACGTGATAATGCCGTGGCCCAGCTTAAAGCCACACAACAAAACTGCAAAAAATGTTTCAGAAGATATGATCCTCGCCAGTTTAATTTTGCCTGAAGATATAACTGAAAATTAAAACACCATTTAAGACTAATATACTATACTAAAAGTAAACTATAAAAAAAAATTATAATTGGACATTAAGAAAGAAAAACATATCAGAAGGCATACACAATGAAGTAGAAATTCATTAATACACATTTTGAAAGAAGCTCAAGAATCAGATCATAATAAGTTGTTCATATTCTTATACCTTATATCCACAATTTAAGACAATAATAAAAAGCTTGAAAAACTCTAAATTTCGATGGCGACACCTCCAATCGCTGTTTACAAACCTCCCTCCACAGGTCGCCGTCCAAACCCAGCCCCCTTCCCTTCCCTCAGATCAGCCTTAATGCAATCTTCCCACCTTTGTTTTGGTCTATCCCTCAGACCCAGTCGCGGCACAGCAAATATTAACCTTTTAGGGATTCTTTCATTATTAAGCCCAACAATTAATGTTACATGCCCATATTAATCGCTGCAATGTAATGACTTCAATTATATTAACCAAATACAGTTTACGGAGTGGCCGAGTGGGTTAACACCTGTCCACAGCACTGCATTACCTGGCAACCTGATAACAGGAGCTATAAGATAAAATATTAACGAGTTCAAATCCTTGTACTACTGATACTTTTAATTCTGGTATAATTCCATGCCCTCTCCCTCGACCCAGGAAAAATCCCATGTAGCCAAAAGCCAAGGTAGGGGAGACAAAAAAATAGTTCACGCAACTCAGCATTAAGCAACTGTCTAAATTCTCAGGCTCTCATCCTTCTTTGGTCCGAATATTCTACGCAATACTTCACTTTCAAAAACCTTAAGACGTTGCTCACCCCTTAATATAATTGCCCACGTTTCACATTCATAAAGAACCGTAGGTAGGATAATGGTTTTGTGAATTTTAATTTTTACTTTCACGAATATAAAATATATAGTTATGCAAAATATATAGTAAAATATATAGTAATGGGAAAGTATTGCGATTGTGAAAAATTTTCTAATCCGAGCTTTCAATGGAAATACATGTTTTGAGGTCTCTTGAGTTCGAATAACCAAGTCTAGCAAAATGGACTACGTGTGTTAACAGTCTAGCTCAAAAACAAAAAGTCATATGAAAATGAAATTGCACATGTTAGGTTTGGATATGCCTGAGATATTACAGCAACTTTTTCATCAAATTTGATAAACCACAAGTGGCACTTTATATCATTGATTTAACACAGTTTTACGAGTTTCTCAAAAATGGCTTTAACGATTTTAATTAAATTCATTATATCAGTGTAAAATTAAACAATTTGTATAATGTATGTTTCATTCTTATTGGTGTTTTTTAATAGGGCCTAAATAAATGGCTATTTTCAATATTTCTTCTTCTAAAGTACCTATAATTTTTTTTAATTCAAATAGCTATAATTTTTTTTAATTCATCTAGTCCTGTCATAAATATTGTCATAAGGAAATATATACAGATTTCAACTGAAAAATAATTTTTTTCAAAAACTTTATAATAAAATAGTATGTACATCTATAGAGAGTAAAACAAACACAGGCATATAATCTCCATGACCTGTCATCAATAGCAGCACACAGCAATTCTTGAGGAAAGCGCTCAACTGCTTGGACAAGAGATGGTGTGAGGCATGTTTGTCACAGAAAAATAAGAAATATTTAGTTTTTTCTAGTTATTGTATAAACTTATGTGTTGCAAAACCTGTATTAACTTTTCTATGTGTTCAAACATATTCCCGCCTATATCAATACCACTAAAATTGTTGCCATTTTTGCAGCTAGCCATATATTTTGTCTTATCCGTATTTACTTTGAACCCCAGTTCTTTATCGGCTTTTAGTAACATTGCATATAGTTTTATTCGCTTAACAGGAGCCAATCATCAGCATAATCAAGCTCAGATATTGTTCCATCCAGATTCATTTTGGTACGCATTACCTCCCTAATGGCATGTCCTAATGCCAAATTAAATAGGACAGATGAGAGGAAATATTTGATCTATAGTTGAACGGATCTTTCTAAATTTACATTGGTAGTCTCAGATAATTTCCTCAGCGTATTCCATATTCAATTAGTAAGGATTAATGTGAATCTTTTATAACTTACAGGAAGGAATTAGATACCTTTATAGTTATTACAATTCTTCTTCCTCTGGCCCTTTTTGCAAATCGGAATAAAAGTAGATTCTTTCCATTTTTCAGACAATTTCTCATTCTCCCAGATCTTTTTTAGCAACTCCAGTTTCCTCATATACCTTGATTAATTCACAAAGAATACAGGTTCCACTGCTTTATAAGGTTTTAATTTTCTAATAGTTACTTCACCTTCATCTTGACTTGGTTCTATTAATGGCTGAGCAGTCTGGTACTCTGCATCCTTAATTCTATTTGTTATGGTCCTGAACATTTATGTGATTTTATTTTATATGATACGTCTTATTTTATTTTTGAACAATTTAGTAGTTTCATTCTTTAAAGCTTGGAGATTTAAGACAACAAACCTGATATTATTACTATTATTATTATCAACTGAAGAGACATAGTTTTATGTATTTTTTCCTTCTTTTTATCCTGTCATGGTAATAATGGCTACTTAGGCATTTTAATCAATGCAACCCACGACCACTGTTTACATTTTGCATACATCCTATTCATCATTTTTGGAATTTTTGCAAACATCAATTAATAAATAATCTATGAAAAATAATGAAGATAAGAAAATTAAGGTAAGCCAAAATAAAATAATTCATCTTTAACAAATTCATCCCTAACTTGAACAATTTGATTTTTTAAATTCTCAATGTTATTTAAAGTTATAGATTGTTAACTTTTTTGTTTGTGCTAATAGAAGGCTGTATACCAAACTAATGGTCCATCAATAAATCATTTTATTCAAGTAGTCTAAAAGAGTCTATTAAAAAAATTCCCTGATGTTCCCCAAAAAAAAAGTGAACGAACTGCCACAAAATGGCGTCCAAACATGGCCGACTGACGACTTTGACTTTAGTTAGTTTTTTAGTCACTGAGAATCAGCATTGGGCTTAATTTCGTCATAGTTGGTCTTTTATTAAAGCTGGATGAATAAAATGATAAAAACATGAAAAAATATTAAAAAATAATTAGCTTAGCCAATAAAAAACACCAGTAAAGTCAATTTTTTAACAAAAAAATTTTCAAGTTGAAAATCAAGCATCGTTTGTATTTAAACAGCTAACAATAACGCAAAACGTGCTGAAATAAAACATCTGGAGAATATATTTCTCTTTCAAAAACACTGATTACTTTTTAAAATACTTGAAGCGGTTACATAGAAAATGCACATAAGTGGCAGAAAAATAGTACTGGCGTGGATGCCTACAGGCCTCTACCACACCATTCAGTGCTCATAAATAGATTAGTTATAGTAAGTAGTATAATAACGTTTTTTGTACATTATATTGTTTGTATTAATGAACAAATATTAATATTTATATATTAAACAGGTTGTAGAGGTATGTAAAGCAGAGGCAGTATATGCAAGTTATCAGAAGGCCTCGACAGTGCGTGAGGGTAAGATGACTGATTGGATGAAGGAAGGTGATTAGATGGATGATGATCTTAAGTGACAGGCGGATCAGCACCCAATCACTCTCGATCTGTGGTGTAAGAAATTAAGCTTTAACACTCCGCAAGGATGGTAACCACAACCGAAGGGATCAATCTCCGGACTAGAGGGAGGATGAAATACTGATGGAGGGATCAATCTCCTGACTCAGTATATAGGATTACAAGTGGACGGATCAGCGTCCTACTTGCATGGAGATAGAGAAGAGGAAAAAGGTAACAGGATGATGTTAAATAATAAGAGCAAACTAAGGTGAACTAAAAGTGTATATGGGACATATACTGACCATCTGCATATAGGTCTACACCCTGATGGGGTGGAGATCCGAAGACCTAACAACTTGAGGTTTGACTGGGGTATTCATTCGATTGTTTATGTCGCTCTTCGATTGTTACTTTGATATATGCTTAATAGTTAAAACCCTGTGATAATATTTTATCAACAGTAACTTTATAAACAGTTGAACATTTTAACGTTCACGGATACACAGGTGAGTCACAATTTATTAACAATGAACATGTGATAAATTGGTGCTCGTTTGGGTAGCCCAAGTGGCCGTTAATTCCCTTGCTGTTCTTATCTTACTACGTTAAGTTCATGGCCAAGGTCTGTATACTAGCTCTCTCTCGTCAGCTGGTCTCTGTTCGAAACCAAAGACTTATAGTATTTTTTTTTTTTTTCCTCAGAGACAGTTTTGTTTTAATATATTTTTTTTCTCTTTCTATTTTGTTTTATTTTTGTTTCTAAGTTTGTAAATAGTGTATTTTTTTTAAGTATTTATTTTGTAAATATTTATTTTTGTAATTGTAATATTTAGCTATATATATATATATTTTTTTTTTTTTTTCTTCTTATCATTAACATGGAAGATATGAGTTTGGACAAGAACTCTTCATGCGAAGATACAGATGACGAGACACCATTTTCAAAAGTTAGCGAAACTGACTCGCAATATCTGAAAAGACGCTCACTTCAAAAACGGCACCGAAACTCTGCCTCTGGGTCAGCGGGCAACTCACCCAATAAGAAAAAAAATAAATCGACAAAAAATAAATTGTCAGCTGAACAAAATAAATTAAATAAAACCAAAGAAACAGCCGAGCAAAATAAATCACCACCCAAGACTAGAAGCCAATGAAATACCTCAAAATCAGCACAAACTGCACCTAATACCACAGCCAGCAAAAATTCTGTTCCTGTTAGTAACTCATCTAACAAGCCTCCAGAGCATCAAGGTTTTAGTGATCCCGAGCCGCCACCTATTTTTGTTTCCAAAATTGATAACTTCATATCATTTGGTCAAGAAATTGCCGATCTGATAGGCCAGACAAATTTTCGTTGTTTCTCCAGGGTAAACGACATCAAAATCATAATAATTACAAAACACTAATAAACTACTTCTCAT